CCCCATCACCTTTACTCTCCTCTCCAAGTTCCCCCAACTGGTTTCAGATAATAAAATAAAGAATTCTGCCACTCTCTTTTGTTCATTACATCTAAATATTAAATGTATCAATGAATCATTCAAATTCTCAAATCAGATGTGCAAATTAAGCAGGCACGTAACAGGCAGAGGCAAGTTCTATCAGATTTTCTAAAATAAAAGATCACAAAACATAAAAGTGACAGGAGGTAGTATGAAATACAACTTAAAAAGACATGGGCCAAATCTGAGTTTTTTTTCATTACTTTAAAGGCCACATTCTTAGTGGGTGTAAATTATTATAGCTACACTGACTTACAAATACACTTAGCCTAGAAAAGCAAGAACAAGGTACTTAAAAAGAAAAGGATACGACAAGCCTTACAACAGAATGTTCTATTGCCCAGGCAAGAGTAAAGTCACAATGTGTCTTTCATCACCAGAATTGTTTATTCATCCATCTTCCACTAATAGGCATTTTAGGGCCAACTCGGATCAGGCAAGTTATTATTGACCCTAATTAGCAGTTCACAAGCTGTAGCATTCTTCACTCACAGCAGATGAACTTTAAAAATGAAGTGAGATTCTAAAACTCTAAATGTAGAGTACATTTATTTATGTGAAGTGTTTGTACGCTCAAATATCCACTGATGAGGCTGAGTGAGGACAAAACCAACATCAATAGAAACTGCCTTTTGGATATAAAACTGTAAGGCATGTCAGCCTGATCATGTAAAATGCTGATATCCCTAGCTTCCTTAGACTTCATGCACCCTGCACCTTTCAACACTAGGCCATCATGATTATTACAAGCAATGAACAGGATAATCAGTTGGGAGAAGAGGGGTTCTACACAGATCTCCACTGCTTCAGATAAGCAGCTGGAATACTGGATATTTAGCCCATCCTGAATCCAGAGACTTTTTTTTAAACAACTAGATAAAGGAAATATTGGTTTGATCTTCAGCTAATTAAGATTTGTATTGTTTTACAAAGTCAAATATTTAAAAATGCACAGACAGGACCACAGATGCAAGATGGTGATTGCATCATCTCGATGAGGCCCCGTGTGGACTCAAAAGCATTGGAAGGAGAGGGTGGACCCATCACCAGTGATTTGTCACACTGCACACCGAAGCACTCAGCACCAGTTCCTGCATCTGAAGCCCAAGAGTGGATTCCATTAGGAGTTCTGCTCCTTTCAGGTTCGTGGTTTGAAGGCCTTGCTGATCTTGTACTTGACAGCCTGGTGAACTTCCCCCAGGCACTAGAGACATGAATTGTGAGGGTTGCTTATTAGCACTGACTTGAGGCAAGACCTGCAGGGCAGCCACCCAGCTGCTAATTGAGCCCCACCCAGAGGTTTAGGGCTGCCATGCAGAGGGCTTCCTGGCTGGGGAGGGGCACTCCCTCAGCAGCAGAAGCTTCCTGCTCCAGAAAATGAGCATGCTGGTAGGGAAGGGGATAAGGGGGAGCAAGGGAGGGAGTAAGTATGTGACTGGGATGGGAGGGGGCCACAGGGGATGGGAGTTTGGAGCATGCAGTAAGTACAGGAGAGGAGAGGTTTGATTACAGCAATCTGATTACAGCAGCTGGGTTTGCCTGCTATTTCCTGTGAGGAAACCCTGCACTTCTCTAGCTTCCTGGGCTGGGAGGAAGCAAACTACATGGGGTAGGTGGGAGAAATAGGGGGCAGTGCTGGGATCTGGGCAGTGAGATGGGGACAGAAGGGAGTTTGTTTGGGGTATCTTAATTTGTTTCCATCTGGGCTGCTTGCAGCAAGAGCCAGAATGTCTGTATCAGCACAGCTGCCCTATTTGGTCTGAAGATACAGGAATCTCTCCTGGACTGGGGCAGGTGATATGGGGTGGTGCCAAAATTTCAGGTGGGTTAAAAGCTTTTAGGCTGCTTTTGAATACTGGAACAAAAGACTTAGTTCATGACATTTGTATGATTACATTTCAAAGTTTATATAGGTGTTAATGGTTTCAAGTAAGAAAGGAAAGGACTCTAACAACTTTTTTTTAATATTGTAGATATCTATACACTGATATTAATTTTTTTTAATTCTGTGTCACTAGTTAATAGATGGTAAATTGTTAAAACTGGAAGAACTTTACAATGGATTCTGTTTAATTTGTTTGGCCTTTCAATTGGAGTTGAATTCTAGAGAAGTGCTGTGGGGGCTTCTACTTCTGAGTTAGTGACACACACAAGGTGAAAGTTTCAAACCAGAACTGATCTGTTTTATTTGCATAGCATGGATCCTAAATATTCCCCAAAGAAAATGTATAAGCCTGAGTGAATGCCTTTTACTCTCCTTTCTAGTGTCAGTAAATACCATATTAATACTGTCAAGGAGAGCATAACTATTTCTAGTTGACTTACACATTTATTTAGCAACTTAAAGCTGAGCATATTTTTTAGACTTTTACTTAATGGCCATGTCTGATTTAATTATAAAGCTATTTGCAGTATGCCCCATTTTGGTGTGTTTACTAGTTTGAGTTGTTAGCAAGTATGATAATACATGTACTCCAACGGTAGTGTTAGTTTTATTTGATTTAATATTAAATAAACATCATAAGCATTGCTCTGTTAATTATCCCTTTTTAAAAAAAATATATTGTCTTTCATACCTATGGACTGTTTAAAATATAAATATTTATACCTAGGTTTTTTGTTTGTACTGGGACACACTGCGCATCCACATACGGCCTCAATATTGGTGGTGCACATAATAAATTTCAATCTGCCCAAGGATAGAAAACGTTAGCTGCTACCCGTGTTTCCTCTAAGGTCAAAACTTTCCAGCAGTTGTATACACAATGCACACACCTACCTTGGAAAAGTGCTGAGCAAGCACTTGAAGAAGAATATATTTTATTGGACCAACAATAAAGGTGAGGATATAAGATCAGGACTTGAGGAAGAGCTTGGTATAGCTAAAAAGCTTGCCTCTTTCACCAATTCAGGTTGGTCCAAGAAAAGATATTAATTATCTCACCTACTTTATTTCTCTAATGTAAGAGACAGGACATATTTAGAATGTTAGGAGCATGATAAAACAAAAACAGTGATTTTAAAAAAACCAATGAGCTATTAACAGCATCATTTCAATTGCCCCTTCCCCCATGAGTTTAAAAAAAAAAAAAAGTATCACATATGCACAACATAATTTAATTTATGGTTTTGAGGTTGTTCCAAGAATGAGAACAGGGGAAAAATGAGAACCTTAGCCACACAATCCAAACTGCTAAATGAATGTTACAGAAGATTATTACATATTTTATTTTATTTAAATAAAGATTACTAGTCAATATTAACTCCTTGACAAAGCTGCAAATGGGGATAAACATGGTTTGCTATTATTTCTTTGTTTCCATAGTATAAGAAGTGAAACTATACATATAAGGTAGATGTGAGTTAGCCCTCTTGGCAGTCTGATTATATGTTCCTGGCATTGAGTTTATTCTGTTGTTTTTCTTCATGATGAATGACTAACATCAGCATATTCTAGCTAAATCAGGAGTGCAACAGTGAGATAAATGTGCACATAAAAGACAAGGGAAGTCAACAGAAGAACTCCTATTGTCTTCAATGGAGCTGGAATAAACCCCGTATGAACAAGTGGAAAGTTCAGTCTGAACGGTCATTCTGTTGAAAATACCACTAAGCCTTGGTCTACATTATTATTTTGAAATAACCCCCCTGAGGTAGAATTTACAAGCAGAGCATCCACACTACCAAGCCTGTTATTTTTAAATAATGGGCTGCCTTTTTTTAAAAAATATGGGCAGGAGACTTGTGAACCTCCCCTTTAAATAACTGAATGCACATTCAATGACACACGTGGCACCTGCTCAGCCTGGCACTGAAGTGCTCCTTGCAACTGGGCAGGCTCCCATCAACGTGGGTGCGCTATTTCATACTAATTCTAACTAATTTTGATGCCTCTTCATAGCGGGGACACACTATTTCAATTTTGTTAAATCAGGAGTTAGGTCGATTTTAGTAATTTAATTTCCTATCGTAGATATGGCTTAAGTGCGCTAAAAGCAATGTAAATTGAAGTGGTGGTTTTTATTGATGAAACAAACTTGGTCATTATTAAAATTAGTTCTATTTGAATGATTGATTTGTTTTGGTTCAGTCAAACCTAAATAAAATTGTTTCATGACCCAAAATGGAAAAAAATTGTTTCATCTGTAACAATATGTTCTATTCATTTTTACTTTTTTAAAAATTGAAGTAAAAGGCAACATACAAAGATATTTCAAACTGAAATACTGAAACATTTCATTCTGAATTTGTTAAAAAGAAAACATTTCAGTTTTGTTCAGATCCTCCCTTTCCCATCTGAAACAATTCAGTAAATTTAACCCAAATTTCTTACATATTTTAGCTGACCCAAATCTGCCTTTTAGCCAGAAAAGTTTCGTCCAAAAATTTCACCCAACTCTAATTAGAACGTGAGCACATATAAAACACTTAATTGAGGTTACCAGTTTTCTCTTATACTTAGAATAGAAGTTTCTTTGGTAAATTTTGGTTTCTACTTTACAAACCCACTAGAAACTATACGGAGACCACAGACTTGTTTCACGAAGCATCTGTCACCTATGAAGTTGCTCAATTCTCCATTACTATCCATGTGGGTGGGATTTAAAGTTTATGACAAAGTTGAATGACTGCATGTGTAAAATCTTAGCCCTGTTGGAATTAGAGGGAGTTTGGCCAATGATTTCAGTGCAGCCAGGATTTTGCCTCATTTCTTCCATTACCAAACCTATGAGACTCCCAGTCCTGTAGCCACTTACTATAAAATAAAAAATAAACAAATCTCTTCCCTCCTTTATGTGCTTTACTGTTAGACACCAGAAAGAGAGGAAAATATAAAAATATTTCTTAATTATTTTAAATTACTTCTCTCATTGTTTATTAACCCCTTGAAAGATTAAAATTAAAGAGAGGTTACTTACCAAACTTTTTTTTCCTCCATTCCTCCTCGGGGACATTGGTTTATTATTGGAGGGTTGCTCCTTATGCATGCTGGTCTAGTAGCACTCATCTTTTTTCTTTAAAAAAAGAAGGAATAAATATAATGAGTAATTTAAAAATACAGGTGAACAATTTCACGTATTTTCAAATATATACCCAAGAGAAACAGAGTAGGTTAAATTTTGGACAAGTGTTTTATGACCAATTCTGTCTTCTTCACTCAAGTAATCTCCAATTTAATCAAGGGGACTACTTGAATGAATAAACTAAAAAGGATTTATCCACAGTTTTTCAGAATTGCTAGTTCTGCAGAAGCCAACACCGATTGTCTTTTGTTTACTTCCTTGACTGTGTGCCAGCATAGTTCATGTCAGCAGGATTACTCATAGAACTATGCATAATGTTAGTTATGTTCCCACAAAGCAGCAGCCAGAGCTAACATATAACTGTGGAATGATCCTCAGAACATTGGTGGATCAATTGGCTTTTCACGTGTTTAAAAATGTAGAGGAACTTCTTTGCTCAACTGTTTCACTTAAGGTCATATTTCAGCCCAAATTGATAAAGTGCCATTTCCAGGAATGAGGCCTGAAGTCATTCTATAAAACAAAGTCCTTATAGAAGTCATTCTATAAAACAAAAACAGTCAATTTTCATTCTGTAACATTTCTGAAAGATACGTTCCAAGTCTGTGCTGCTTAATGCTAATTAGAAGTATAAACCAAGGCCCCCAAAACTGAGACAGTTTGAAACATAATGAAATATGAGCCACAGAAATTATATGAAACTTCTCTGCAAATGTTTCTTTTTTATTTTTAAAAATAATCAAAGTAATGCCAAACATTTTCAGCCATCAGAATCATCTTGTTTCTGTTGAGCAAGCTCTGGATTTTATCAGGCTAAAAGTATTTACATCAGCAGTACAGCATAGATCAGTGTCTTCTGAAGACTAATGAATAAAAATGAATAAAAATGACCTGAATGAAGCCACTAGAAGCTAGGAAACTCTGGTAAACATTTTTTTCCCTTTCGTCAAATAAAAAGGTCCAGAGATCCATTACTTCCATGAGCTTGAAGCAGAACCGCACCCAATAGCTACTAGCAGTTGGGAAATGGCTCATCCCAGTGGGCAGCAGACTCTGCCCAGGGGACCCAGCCTCCCAAGATTGCCATGGACAGAGGCTGCTCTGTGGGAGGCAAAGAAGCCTTTTCCACAGGGAGCTCAGACCCTTTCCCCGCCTCTCCTGTGGACAGAGGCTGCTTCAAGGCATCCTCCCCTGCCCCCTCCCTCTTCCTGCTGCTGCTGCCTCTGATAGAGGCAGCAGCTTGGGGAGTACAGGCAACACCATGGAGCCAGTGCTGGGGGGAACCAACTGATGCAGCAATAGCGGGGGGGAGGGGTAGTCAACAAGATTAACTGATAAGCCTAGGCTTATCGGTTAATCATATAGTCAACAGCACACTGACATCCCTGATCCTTGTGATGTAGGAAATGGTGTGGTGCCTATGCTTTTGGCACTCAAGTGGTCAGCGCCAATGATGCAGCTGTAGGGATGGATGTCAGTGTTGGCTTCTGAACACTCTGTGCCACTGGAACAGATGAAGGCACTGTAGGCTGTGGGGAGTGCCTTGGTGTTATGTTTAGTTCCACTATGCCATAGCAGAATAGGAGGACATCAGTTTGCCTCATTTCCAAGTCAGTCTGTTTGGAGTCAGGGTTATCATGGTAAATGCAGTACTGGAGGATCCTGTGGTCTTGTATATACTCAATCTCAGTATGGTTGGCACCAAAGATAGGGAATGACCAGGACCACTTCTTTATTTTCGGTCTTTCAGGGGAGAAGTTGATACTCTTTTCCTCTGAGCTTTTTTTGGAACAATGAGCCTTCTTGTGTGGAGAAGAGGATATCTCTGGATATCTTTATCTAAAGGTCTGTTGGCTAAGATTAGATACCGGTCACTGAGATTTGTCCATGAGAATAAGTTTGAGACACAAGTCTCTGTCTTTTAAGGCTTTAGCCTTTAGGTTACTGCAGTGAGAACACTTCCAAGATATACATGTCTCACCTAAGCAACAAACAATGAGAGTGCCTGTCCAACAGCAACACCAACACCCCCTATGTTCTAAAATCTGATTTGTTTATTTTATGTGTGTTCACTTTTTTTGATTGTATCCCTTTGGTGTATATATGGTCATGCCAATTTTCTTCCACAATTTAATCCGAAGAAGTGGGTCTGGCCCACGAAAGCTCATCACCTAATAAACCATCTTGTTAGTCTTTAAAGTGCTGCATAGTGTCTTTTGTCCAACACCATGATTGCCTACCAACAGGAAAAGCAACATTTGAAGCCCAGTGAACCAGGCATACTGAAACTATGGAAGTTCAACCATATAGGTGAACAGTAACACAATAGTAGCCAAGTTAAACTGTAACAGGAAAAGCTTAAATAATAAATAGTCTAGCAGCACTTTAAAGACTAACAAAACATGTAGATGGTATCATGAGCTTTCGTGGGCACAACCCACTTCTTCAGATGAATGGAGTTATTAGAGGTTCAGTTCCAAAACAAATAGGAGATGGGGGTGGGGGAGGAAGGGAAAAAGGGGGGAAATCAATTAGAGTGTTCATGTTACATACATGAAGCTGATAGAGAAGATGCAATTTTTCTTAATTACAGAGTTTGGTTTTTTTAAGTCATTAGGATATATGCACAAAACAGTAGTGTGTAAGATTGCAGTTTTCCTACATCATAGCATTTTGTTTCTCACTGAATATAAGAGCATTGTAATCTCATTCCACAAAGTAACACACTTTATCAGCATAGCAGGTTAATCCTGCTCTTTTGATCTGTGAAAAAGAGGCTGAACAAAGGACACTCGGCCTTAGGGTCCGCTTACAAAGGTGGTAATGCTATACCAGAAGTAGAAGTTTTTCGTCCACATGTATGTTTTTTGGAAGAATCCTACTTCTCTATCTCTCTCCCTCCTGCCCAAGAGCATAGGTTTGCATTTGGGTTTGAAATAGATTAACAGCACCGCAAAATGAATCTCAATTTTTCCTAGACCGTATATCTATTACAGAGCTGGCCAACCAGTTAGAGACGAAGAGCCAAAATATCGTGGATAGAGTGTGAAGAGCCACATATTATATATTTTTATATGTCTGTATGTAGACAGACAGATGTAGTGATAAAAACAACATTACAGGACATTTTGGACAAAAAACAAGTCTTTAGACACTTAAAAAAATTCAATGCCAGTCCATAGATCTTCAGGGAACTTGACAAGGAACAAACATCAACTGGAAAAAAACAAAAAAAACAACAAAAAAACCCACCCTTTAAAAATACAGTAATAATCTCACACTAAAAAAGTAAGTTTCCCCACCATGTATTTTAAATGTAACACTACTGCCCTATTATGTCCTGTGAGGTGTTTTGGTTTTTTTTAAAATTAAACTGAAGTAAATTAGCACAATTTGAAGTGCCTGTTCCATTCCAGCTTGTTGATCTCTGGTATGGTTTCCCCCCCCCCCCCCCCTTTTTTTTCCACTTATGAAAATTATGGCTTTTTTATAATTCTAAAAATTCAGGTCTGTCCCAGACTGCAAATATGAGAGGTTCAAAAACAATAAGGGAGAGATTCATATCTCAGAATAATTGCTTCAGCCTGGCAAACAATAGCCTCTGAATTTTCTTTAAAGAAACAGTGTAAAGCAGGTATATGCTGATTCTTTTTTGCGAAATGTAAATATGACGTCTGTGTTGGCAGCCTTATTCTGCATCCATGAAGACTTTGAGTTTAAGGTGCTTCAGCCCCCTCTGCTCTAACCCAATGCCCTTCCCCTCCGGCAGAGCCAGGCACCCCCGCCCTTCTCCCCAGCTCTAACCCAATACCTGCGTCCCGGAGCCACCACTGCCGCCACATGCTTCTCCCTCCAGGGTGCGTGCGCATTCTGAACACATGGCTCAGAACTAGCAAGAGCCATATTTCTTTAAGCCGGTGTTCTCAAACTTTGTGATACTGCTACCCCCCGGGGGCTCTGGACCCACAGTTTGAGAAACGTGGCTTTAAGCAAAGAGCCACATGTGGCTCAAGAGCTACGATTATGTCATCCTTCAGGATATTTTTTTAATACATATCTAGAGAGGAGCTTGGTCCTTCTGTGAGGGCAGAGGACTGGACTGGATGACCTCTCAAGGTTCCTTCCAGTTCTAGTGTTCTATGATTCTATTGTAAAGATGTAAATCATATTTCCTTATAAGGCAGTTACTAAAGAGTCAAAAGGTCTACGCTCATATTAGCAATTCCCCTGTCAGTAAATGAGAGCTCCCTTTTAACAAAAGCACTTTAAAAAAACATTTTATTTTGGGGATAACACTGGATTTTAGTCTATGCAAATGTAGGTCCCTGGATCAGTTTCTCTTAGATATCCATTAAATTAGTACAACAACAAGATGGAACTACACAGTTTTACTGGTGGAGATGGGATAGCAGGCCACAAAAAATCTGCACCGCACACCAGTGCAGGGGAATAATCAGAAGGTCCAAAAAAATTACATGCAAGTTACAAACAGGCCATGATTATCAAATTAGCCTCTGTTTCATTGGCAATGGTAGAAATAATGATAACCTAACTTCTGCATTTCCAGCACAGATTCCCCTACACCAGTGGTCCCCAACCTTTTGAGGTTGTCGGGCGCCAGGGGCGTGGCCGTTCGCCCGCCAGGTTCATGCTGAAGCAAGCACACTGTTTAAATTCTTCTACAACATGGATTGGCACAATCCTTTAACAACTCAACTTGCAAAGTTGGCTGATAACTGCACATTGTTTAGAGCAATCCCCCCTCTCCCCCGGAAGCGCCGCGCGCCCGGGGCCGACGCTCCCTGCAAGCGCCGCGCCATGTGCCCGGGGCCAGGCCAGCCCCGAGCACCTGGCGGGCACATGCAAATGCCCCCGCAGGCGCCATGGCGCCCGCGGGCACCGTGTTGGGGACCACGGCCCTACACCGTGGCCTCAAACAAACAAACAAACAAACAAAGGAGCAGCATCTGACCCCTAAAGTTCAGATTCTC